CTCTGCCCAGCGCAATTCCAGCTTTGTTTGTTTGTTTGTTGGTACCCCCTCATATATACACACACTATATATAGCCATGTGTGTATTACTCACAAATTACATGTATCAAATTGCCTGTTGCATGTGTGTTTCTGTCACCTCCACAACTCTCTGAAATATTTGTACAGCCCCCCAGTGGTAGGGAATACAAACAACTCCAATTGTAAGATTGCTTCCCATATTACACATTCTACATTTTCCTCTAAGCATCTTTCACCTGCTTCCTGGCCTTGCTTGCCCTGGAGGGTTATATGGCAAAGGCTGGATGTACCCCCTCTCTTGACAGCCCGCTACACATTCCAGCCTATTTTTGGGCCTCTTTCCACCACACCCACCTAGGTCCTTTTCTTTATTTCATTTTCTATATGTTAATGAAATTTCATTTCTTAAATTATTCACATAATTATAAATGTTTAAGCTATTAGGAACCAGTCCATCAATTTCACAGATGATAAAACTGAGACCCAGAAAAGTTAAGTGACTAGCCCAACACAGGTGGCTAATAGTGTAGAATGCCATTTGTGAATTTTGATCATCTCCTGAGCAAATGAAGATATTATAAAGTACCAATGATTCAGTGGTAGAATTCTTGTTTTCCATACTAGAGAGCCAGGTTCAATTTCCAGTCCATATATCTGATAGGCAGCCACCAGCCATCTGCCGAGAGAGGCTTGCGTGTTGCTATGATATGGAACCAACTTAGTGGAGTTTCCTTCCTTCTAGACTAGGAAGAAAGGCCTGGTGATTTACTTTCAAAAACCAGCCAATGGAAAATCTCTATGGGTCAGAATGGGCCAATCTGGACCAGTCATGCGGATATCTCACAGAACCAGGCTGCATTTTGATTCATAAGGCATAGAGTCATCAGAAGTTAAGGACCCACTTAAGGGCAGCGAACAATGCAATGTACCAATGTCTGCCCTTTCCTTCAAACTCACTTCTTAATAGTGTCAGCTCATTAGCTTACCAGGAAACTATATCCACATTGTGATTATTATAATAATAATAATTTATACAACTAGAACATTTTCTAAAGAAAACCAGGTCTTCATGCTATTATAGACAAAGAAACTGAAGGCCAGGAGGCCCAGGCACTTGCGGAAGATCAGCCTCAAAAAATTGATGGCCAGGGAATAAATTCGGACTCATAGTGACCCTATAGGGCAGGGTAGACCTGCCCTTGTGAGTTTCTGGGACTGCAACTTGAAGTAGAAATCCTCATCTACCTCCCCAGGAGTGGCTCCTCAGGTTGGTTTGGAACTGCTGACCTTGCAGGCCAAAGAGTAACCCACTACGCCACCATGGGTCTTACTTGTTGATGGGCACACAGGGGCAAAGCCAACAGTGGGGCCCAACTCTCCTGATTACATCTCAGACCGTCTCCACACAAAGGATTAGCTAAACACCAAATGTTATAAATTTGAGATTACTTTAATCTAAGAAGCCATCTGAAATATGAATTAAGGGCTAGAAAAATCTTTTTCTTTGAACTAGTAGATAAGTTCTGTTTTCTGGAAGTACTGTGCTGAACAATAAAAAAAAAATGTAGAAAGGGGTTTGCACATTAGGTACGAGGTTGGATTCAATGACCTCTTAAGTCCTTTGCACCTCTGAGATGATTTGATTTTAGACTGACCAGGGTGCACATCCCTCCTCCAGCCTGAGCACTTCCAGAGGAAGGGTATGTGCTGTACCCTGTGTGTGTGTTGGTGGGGGGTGGGGGGTGGGATGTCCCTCATCCGAGTTAGATGTTGCCCCACTCATTTCAGACATTGCTCTATACCCAATTTACATGCAATCAACTGCTCCAGGTTCAGCAAGAGTAGAAGGAAATGCAGCTCTGTCATTTCCAAAGACAGACTGCACTGTTTAGCTTTCAAAATTGCCTTGCCTA